GATTTCTGTCTGTCCGAAGCAGTGCGGAGTCGGTCTCTGATCACACGAACCTTCTCCTCGGTTTCCTGCACAATATCTGGTCCCTCGAGCTTACGCTCGCTAAGCTCTGTCCAACAAATCGGGGTTCGGCACTTTCTGCCGTAGAGTGCCTCATACGGAGCCATCTGAATACTCGCCTGGTAACTGTTATTATATGCAAACTCCATCAACGGCAAGTAACGCTCCCAATCTTCTCCAAAGTCGATCACACAAGCTCGCATCATATCCTCGACAATCTGTATCACCCTCTCGGACTGGCCATCGGTCTGAGGGTGAAATGCCGTACTAAGGTTCAAAGCTGTGCCAAAAGCCTTCTGAAGTCCTCTCCAGAACTTCGAAGTGAACCGGGGATCTCTATCAGATATGATTGACAGCAGTGCACCGTGCAACCGAACTATCTCTCTAACGTATAAGTCTGCCAATTTGTCCAAGGAAGAGTCACGTCTGACGGGTAGAAAATGAGCGGACTTCGTCAACCTGTCAACAATGACCCAGATGGCGTCATTCTTTCGTGAAGATCGTGGCAATCTTATCACAAAGTCCATAGTGATCCTTTCCCACTTCCATTCCGGAATGGTAAGAGGGTGCAGCAACCCTGTCGGAACCTGGTGCTCAGCCTTGACTTGCTGACAAGTCAAACAGCGCGCAGTGAACTCGGAGATTTCCTTTTTCATAGCTGGCCACCAATAGGATTTCTTCAAATCCTGATACATCTTGTTACTACCCGGGTGCATAGTGTATACGGTTCCGTGAGCCTCGCGTAACAAGCGATCCCTCACTTCACCGCGGGGCACCACTAGGCGTTCACGATAGTACAATACTCCGTCATCGCGAATTGCAAATTCGGGCCTCTTTCCTGCAGGAACTAACTCTCGAGTCTTCTGACAAAACTCATCATCTCTCTGTGCTGTACGGATCTCCTGCTCTAATGGAGACTGAAGCTGTAACTCGGCTAACGATTTTCTGCTCAAAGCATCGGCCACGATGTTAGCCTTGCCCGGGTGATACTCAATGACTAAATCGTAATCCTTGATCAGCTCCAACCATCGGCGTTGTCTAAGATTCAGTTCCTTCTGGGTGAGTAGGTACCTCAAACTCTTGTGGTCGGTGAAGATGTGAATCCTCTCTCCAAAGATGTAGTGGCGCCAAATCTTCAAGGCGAACACCACGGCTGCCAACTCTAAATCATGTGTCGGGTAGTTCTCCTCGTGAGTCTTCAACTGTCTCGATGCGTAGGCCACTACCTTACTCAACTGCATTAGTACACAACCTAAGCCGCTATGAGATGCGTCACTGTAGATGGTATACTCGATGCCAGGAGTAGGTTGAATCAAGACTGGTGCCTGGGTCAGGCACTCCTTCAGTTGATCAAAACTGCGCTGGCACGCTTCTGTCCACTCAAATTTGATGTCCTTACGTAGTAGCTTGTTCAATGGAGTAGCGATCGAAGCGAAGCCCTTAACAAATCGGCGATAGTAACCGGCTAACCCAAGGAAGCTCCTCACCTCACGAACATTCCGCGGAGTCTTCCAATCCACTATGGCTGAAATCTTGCTGGGGTCTACCTTGATACCGGTGGCAGAGATAACATGTCCTAAGAATGTCACCTCACTCAACCAGAATTCACACAGACAATTTTGCATACAGCTTGTGTTCTCTCAACACACTCAAAACCAATTGCAAATGTCTAGCATGCTCCCCCTGAGTCCGTGAATAAACCAAGATGTCATCGATGAACACTACTACGAACTGGTCCAAGTATGGTCGGAACACACTGTTCATAAGCTCCATGAACACTGCCGGGGCATTAGTCAATCCGAAAGGCATGACTGAGAACTCATAATGCCCATAGCGTGTTCTAAAAGCAGTCTTCAGAATGTCCTCTCTCTTAACAGAAATCTGATGGTATTCAGAACGCAGATCAATCTTTGAGAATACTGTAGCTCCTCTGAGCTGGTCAAACAGGTCGTCGATGCGAGGCAATGGATAACGATTCTTCACTGTGGCTTTGTTCAATTGCCTGTAGTCGATGCAAAGTCTCATGGATCCATCTTTCTTTCGAACAAATAACACCGGTGCTCCCTATGGGGAAACGCTAGGTCGGATGAATCCCTTTTCCAGTAGCTCTTGCAACTGAGCCTTCAACTCCTTCATCTCGGCAGGTGCTATACGATACGGTGTAGCAGATATGGGTTCCGTACCCGGAATGAGATTGATCGAGAACTCTACCTCTCTCGGCGGAGGCAAACTAGGTAGGTCTTCGGGAAAGACATCGGGGAAGTCGCAAACCGTACGAATGTCCTGCTGACGTGGCAATTCTTTTCGCATATCCTGAACGTGACACAGGAACATCTCGCACTTCTTGCGAATCAAGCGCCTCGTGCTCAAGGACGATATGAACTCTGGAGCCTTGGGGAACACCTCCCCGGAGAGTGATACGTCGCTACCATCCTCGGCTCTCAGCCGTACGGTCCGACAACTGCAGTCGACCACTGCTCTATGCTCGGTGAGCCAATCCATACCAAGGATAATGTCAAACTCCTTGTGTGGTAGCTCTATCAAATCTGCAGGGAATTGCTTCCCTTGCACGGACAACGGACATCTATGATAAACGTGATGAAGACGCATGCTATGTCCTAGCGGATTCGATACAATGGTAGGTATCTCAAGGTCACTCCTCACAATCGCAGAATTAGCAGGCATGTCAACACAGATATAGGAGAGCGTAGAACCCGGATCGATCAAGGCATGCATAACCGAATCAAATAGTATGAACGTACCCAAGATAACATCGGGACTAGGATCTGTGCGCCCATGCATGGCGTAGGTACGCGCTGGTGCCCGGCCTGACTGCTGCGGACGTGCTCTCTGCTGATTATTTGCGGCCGTAGACTGCTGACTCCGTGCTGGATGTGATGCGGCAGGCTGATCCGGAGCTCTAGGTAAAACAGGCTCGCTGCTAGGGTTTGTCGGGCAATGCCTCCTGAAATGCCCTGGCTGACCACAACCCAAACATAAGCCTTGGGCGAGCCAACACTCGCCCGGGTGATGCCTACCACACTGTACACA